GCACCGTAGTATATTGTCACTACCTCCCTGGGGGCCAGTTTTAGAGACATCAAAGGTTCTGAAAACATCCATATTCTTGAACCAAGCAGCTCTAATTCTAGGATACAAGGTAAGAAAATGGATAGAAGTGGAAAGATGAATGAAAAAAATACCCCCACAAAACAGACCTCTCAGGAAAACAGCAAAAAAGGAAGCAATTTAAATGACAACCAGTAGGATGCTCCTTAATTACATCAAGACAACACGGAGCATTGTGTGAGGGTTTAGAAAGATGCTCAGGCTCTTTCACGGAAAAGAGTGCATGATCCACAGCAACGTGAAAAGGGCAGGATGCAGATTGATACGGTTAAAATTATGTCTAGTCATATGCCTTATAGGAGGACTTGACTCTAAATGGTATAAAATAAAATGTTTACAGGAGTCATTTTTTATTGTGGTTGATTATAACATTTTTAAAAAATTTCAGTGTACTTTTTAAAGTTTCTTTTTTCTATATAAACATAGTTTTTTAAAAATATATATTTTATTGATTTTTTACAGGGAGGAAGGGAGAGAGATAGAGAGCTAGAAACTTCGATGAGAGAGAGACATCTCACATTGATGTTTCTCTCTCCCTCCCTCTCTTTCTAAAAATCAATAAAAAAATGTAAAAAAAAGGAAAATGTTGGTTTGACCTTTTAACTGACTCTTGCAGTGTTATGCTCATGTAGTGAATATACCTTTTATAATCCTTTCCTATGATTTTGCTCAATGCTGAGTCAGAAATGGTGACATGAAATTCAAATCTGTAAACCTCTGGCCCAGAAATCATATAATAGCAACATTCTAATGAGGTCATTGAACAAATTAAGCAATTAATTATGTAGTTTCCCCCATGGACACCAAAAGGTCCTATTTTCCTCAAAATAATGCTCTGCCTTCTCTTTTCTTCAAACAGGCAGTCAAATTGCCTGAAATTCTTACACCAATCATTCATATACTTGGGATAAGAAACTGAAGGCTTGCCCTGGCCAGTGTGGCTCAGTTGGTTGAGTGTGCATGGAAAGGTTTGCTGGTTTGATTCCTGTTCAGGGCACATACCCAGGTTGTGGGTTCAGTCCCTGTGTCCGAGTGAGGTTAGGGTGCATACAGGAGGCAACCAATCGATGTTTCTCTTTCTTTCTCTCTCTCTCCCTCCCCCTTTCTCTCCTTCTAAATTTAATAAATACACACACACACACACACACACACAACACACACACACCGGATGACTTTTAATCTAACTTAAAAAAAAAAAAGAAGGCTTCTATTAAAATCCATGTGTGTGTATTTGGTAATACAGTCAATTATTTTCTATTAATATCATATTGAAAATTGGTTATTAGATCAGCTGGTGACTTATCTAGCAAGAAGAATGGATTAAAGAGCCCATTCCTTGCTAAAATTTAAATGTCTTTAAGGTCCTGGGGTTGAGAGTGTGGGGGAAGAAGGGAAGGAGAGGAATGTGCGATCAGGCTGAGGGTCAGAGATCTACTAGAGCAAGAAACCTGGTTAAGACGATAGCAAGGGTGAATGAAGACAGAAAATTAAAAAGACTAACCTTGTCATTCTTACAACTTGTGCAGGACTAGTCTGACTCTCAGAAGTTATAGCAACATATTTGCCAAAATAATTACTACATATTTAGTTCACTGATAAACCATAAAGTTTATTTTATATTGAATAATCCAGATATATTTTTGAAACAACTGCCATAGCACATAAAGTCCCCCCAATAGGCATCTCCTGTATCTCTCTGTTATAGTGATAGAAGGTAAAGTTGAGAATTTTATTATTTTCCCTCTCATATGGGGACACTTATCTAACTGCACACCTCTTACCTCTCACTGTGGTACTAAGGTAATTATAAAAGTCTGTTTAAATCTACCCACCTGTCTTTTGTTTTGCTGCCTAACTGGGTCTTTTCCAAGCAGGCAGAAAATCTCCAATCAGTCTGTTATCACAACCAGAACGTAAGAGATTAGTGACCACGGAGAGAAGCAGAATCAGTTTACATCCTTTCAGGCTAGAGAATGATACTACCTCACGGGCAAGAAATCTGAGGCTCCCTGACCTTAACTTAGAAAACCTGCAGTTAATAATCACATTAAAGTTGGCTTTATATGCCAGACAGCTTTTGTTTCCTGTTGTTTTTACAAGTGGAGTGCTCTTTGGGGTTATGAGTTATTTGCTGAAAGGCATATATTAACATTTAAAAGATTTGATATATAATAAAATAGGTCTTACAGTTTAGGTATATCTGAGTTAAAATATACTTTGCATTCATGTTTTATAAAGCTAATAACATTGCTTGTATTTACCTGGAGTAAAATTTAGCAATTGTCATTAATTATGACAATTAATACACTGAAAACTCCTTTCTTAATTGAGGAATTAAATGCATTTTTCATTGTAATCTGTCAACCTAAATCAAGACTATAAAGATCCCACCAGGGCTACACTCTCACCCCTCCCTGAAAAAGGTCAATTGTTTCTCAAAGGAAAGAGAACAAACCCTGAAGCTACAAATTTAGCAAGGAAAACAGGTCAAAAACCAGATGTGCAGAGCAGGGGAGAACTGGCACAGGTGATCAGGTCAGTATGCAGAGGTTTCAAGGACAGCAAACTGAACTTGCCTTCTTTTTCATAATCAAACACTTAATGAAAACAAATCTAATTAACACCATAAGCCAAAAAGTGATCTTGTAATGTGTGGTTAACTTTTAGTTAACATTCTAGTAACGGCACCTGTATTAGCCAAACCCATTTCAGCTGCTTCAATGGAATTTACTGTGTGTTCACTAAAATGAATTATGAGTCTTCAGACACCTGTTCTCTTTTAAAGAGAGTAATTTACAGGTGTGTGTGTGTAGTTAGTGAAATGAAATGTACAGGCCAACTATGGAGATGATGCTCATAGAATGAAAATACAGTGAGTCTCTATATAGCTGACACAGAAGAAAAGTTACAATGGCATTTTGGTATACTAAATACTGATCTATAAGGAACTGTTAGCATTATGAAAATAGAACTAATACTTGGAGGAAAAAAATCTGAGGAAGTCATATTTGACTACAATAAGAGCAGGAATATCTATTACAGACAAGGGATTAGTCTCCCTTCAGTTTTGGCAAAGAGAAAACTGGCAGTTTTCTAGAAGAAAAAATTTGAAACACATGGAATGAATTTGCAAAAGTTTGAAAAGGTGTCTTTGCTTATCCAGGGACTGTTGCACTAAAACAACTCTTTAAATTATGTTTAGATTTTCTAGATCTATGATACTAACTAGCCATCTCAAGACCCTGTTGGTTACATCATGTATATTCTTAGCATTTACACTTTCATTTCTCTCCTCTTAAAAAAATATAGATTAAAAATTTAAGCAGATGATAATGATAAATTAATGTAAAATACTGCTCTACTCAATATCCTATCTGCCTTTGGCATTATTAACTGTAAGGCCTCAGAGAAATATTATTTAAAAAGTTAAAAGCTGTCTTCAAAAGAGACACTAAATTAGTGAACTATTATTTCTCATTTGGCAATTAACTAAAAATTTGAGTCCTATTAAGCCAATATTGGTTTGATAACCTTTTGAAAATTGTTTTAGTAATTTTTGTTAATCATTATATTAACAGTACATAGTTGTATAATTAGAGGGTCATAGTACTTAAACTGTATCCTTATGGTTCTTTTCTCAGTCACCTATGATAACTGGTCTCCTCATAAAACATAGGGAAAAAAATGTTACAAGATATAAGCGCTATTTTTCCACATGATCAGACTTTAACTCTGAAGCCAAAATAATAAAAAAACATCTTAACAATATTTTAAGAGTGATTTTAAAAAGATCTATATGGCATTAAAAACATTCCTATATGTAATTTAAAACTCTTAAAGAACTATTTAAAAAATTGACAGTAATATGTTCTATAAGTTTGTTTTAAATTAAAAGATTGTAATTTACTACAAAAAGGTAACAGCATTTTATGTAACAAGCTTTTCTGTTTGGTGGTTGTGCTTATCAATCATTTTTCAGGTTTTTAAATTGTTCATTATCAGAAAAGGTCCACCATTTACTAATGGAATTGAGGAGGACATTTGAATCTTTGCTTTCAGTAACCCCATACATATTTTAGATCTACAGGATTTATTTAAAGTAAATAATTTAAATAAATTCAGTAAAGAACTTGTTTAGTAAAGACTACTTACTATCATTTGTAAAAATAAGGATCATATTGATGAAAATAAAAATTTCTTTCAATATCAAGTAAACATTTACTGCGTAGTACTTGTCCAGCACTGTGGTAGATGTCTTACTAAGATTCTCTGCCTTAAATTTCCTCAATAAAAGTACCCAAAGTGATAAATCTAACACTGTCCAGGTAAACACTTTGTTTTTTTTAAATGCCAGGTATGGCTTGTCATATTACATGTGTGTGTATTTGTTTTTTTTTTGGGGGGGGGGGGAAGAGGAGGGAAGGGTTTTAAACAACTTGTCAAAATAGATGGTAGGCATCATCCTTAAGATAAAAACAAACATAGGGATACTGTTGATTTAATTAATGCAAACCACCTGTCTAAATACCTACACCAAGGAATGTGTATAATTCCAGCGTTAAAAAGATCCAGCTGTAATAAAACTTCTCTTTTTATTTTTCCCCCCTTTTTATGAAATATAACTTTTCTAATTCTGATAAGTCTGAGAGCTATTTTTCTCCCCAAAGCTGAAGGAGTCACTCTAAATACAAAACTAGCTTAAGTCTCTAAACACTAGAATTCCTTAAACAGCTGTTAACTGTGGATCATGGGACTGGCTGAAATCTGCTTCTTGCCTATTTCGTTAATGGTTCACTTCCAGGTCCTAAAAGGGTTGTAGCCTTTCTCCAAAGAGAATGGTGGAGGCATTTATGTCTACCTTCTACATAGTTGGCTTTTCTGGATTTTCACTCTCCATACAATGCAAATCTGAGTGAACTCACATCTGTCACCGATCGACCCAATTCGTGAGCAATCTTTTCCCATCGACCTGGGGTCCCTCCTGGGAACTTAACCATACTTCTTGTCAGCTGGCTGAGGTCCTCTTCTGTCCATTCAGGTGCCTGCAAAATATTAAGGAAAAAAAGACAATTTAAACAATGTTTGCTAATACATTTAATAGACCTGTGAAACAAACTATTGGCAATATGCTTTCTGCAAAAACAATAATATCACAATGTATCTAATAGTTCAGATAGAGGTTTGGGTTGCATGTTTAACATTAGAATGCAAAGCTCCAGCAGCCTTTTACATTTTCCTATGTATACCAAATAAAAAAGCAGAAATATTATGAAGTCAGGCTTTCGAAGAAATTGGAAAAAAAAAAAGATAAGTCAGTTCTGCATTAGTGAGAAACCATTCACAAAGCCTATGAAATGCACTGTTGTCACTGCTGCTTACAAATGCCTCATATATAGTCACTATACTTTAAAGCTTAAAAAAATAAGGTTTTTATTGCTTTCTTTCAAGTATAAGCATAAATGAAAATGTCAACAAGTAAATGTAGAGATCAAGAATCATAATTGAGACAAAGATCTATTTTGTTCATTCTAAGTAACAATATTCTAAAAATCATGTATTTTCAAAAAGTTTAACTTATCAAATGTTACCATTTTATAAAATTTGGAAGCAGAAATAAAATTAGAAACTCATGGGACCAACACTTAAACCATCAAGTCTGTGCAGAGCAACATTTCATTTTTGAGAAGGTAAACAGCTCCTAAAAATTAATCAAATCATTAATTTGAATAATAAAATACCTTGAAATATTACAGAATTATTTTTTTTTGCAAAAGCAAACATTCAAGCACATTCTCTGCATTTTATTCAGCACGACCACTTGGTCAAACCCAAAGCTGAGCAAAGCAAAAAAAAACTATTATCAAATAACAAACAAACATGTTACAATTATTTCACATTACATTTTAGCATTAAACTATTCCCTACCAAGGGCAGTAACCACTCTGGTATTAAACAATTCTCTAGGAGTCAGCAGCAAGATGGAGGAAGCCCACTTTATTTTTCTTTAATTAAAAAGAAAGAAAAAGCGAAAGAAGGAAACCTTGGAGACAAATACCTTTTCTAATCACCATTTCCGATAATGAACAGGCATACATCAGGGCGTTTGCATTACAGAACCATCAGCACAGAACCACAGTCAGAGGTGAGTGACCCCAGGGACTATCTCCACAGCTACAGCAAAGCTTCTCCCTGACACTAATCCTCCCTGTCATTCTCCCACTGTGTTCTAACCACACTGACATCCGCCTGCCTCACTGCGAGCTTAACGGGGCCCTTCCTGACTTTTTACTGTCTCCCCCAATCAATGGTTCAAGCGTGCTCTTTTCACCAAGTCCAAATGGCAGCTTCACTCATAATCAGAGTGCACTGCCCTGTTAAAGGGCTTTCCCAAAGGCGCTCCCATTTGCATTCATTTGCAAAGCAAACTACTTTTATTCACTTTGTTCTGCTATCAAGAATGTTCCCTGAAGCAGATAAATTGGCATAAATACAACCTGCCACTTAAGAGTCAGTAAATAATAGCCAATAGTAGGGAGGATTTTATCAATCATTCTATTTTGTCTCCACTAAAAGCTGAAAGCCTCGAACATATTCATCAGTACAACCCTTAAGATCCATGCATAAATTCACATAAAAAAGTAGCCTACATTGGGTATGGTTGAAATTTCTTTGATATTTAATGATATCAGAAATCTAATTTTCCATATCAGGTAATTAAAATTTTACACTGAAGGGTTTCTTTCTGCTTGTTTTTACTTTGTTTAGGGGAAAAAGTATTATTCAGAGGGACATAACTTGATTTTTCAAGGAAAGCATATTTTTATTGCTAAAAAATAAAAACTTTTAAATAACTACCAGTTGATTTCAGAAATGCTAAAGAGTTAAGAATTTAAATATAAGCTTATAGTATAAAGTCATACCAAAAAGAGCATTAAGTTGACACTGCAGAGATATAGTATTCAAACTATATAGTATATCAATGCAATTTCACACTAAATAAAATCATCTTACATTTACTTCTGATTAATTATAACAACTATTTTTGGAGCAAACAAAATTGTTTAAAATGTCAATAATATATAGGTATTGTTTCACATAGTAAACTAATTCGTTAAAATAATTTCTATTTTTATGAGAATGGTTTTCCAAATATGCTGCATATATGGGCAATGGGCTTTAAAAATTTTATTAAATTCCCTGTTAATAAAATGAGTCAAAGTATAGTGCCACTTTTTCTGGGAAGAAAAAGAATTAAATCAAATATTTGGACTGATATCCTGAAAAATTATCAACTGCTAGAACAATCTTTCTTTTTAGTTTCGTAGTTATTTCATGGCCATGATTGTTATTAATATTAAGAGAGATCAATAATAATTAGGACCATAATCTGAAACCTTTGAGAGAGAATACTTTCAGCAAGTCATTATTCTCTCTTTGGTGAATGTGCAATTCCTCAGCAATAGTTAGTTGTGTCTTTAGAAGCAACAGAGCCTACTGTGACCCAGCCACTAAAGCAGCTATGAGGGTGGCCACAGTGTGAATGTATTCTCCTTGTTCTAATCTGGAGCCAACTGGAACTGTGAAAGTCAAATGAATGCATAAGCATACGGCTTTGCCACGTAAAACCATGTGTGTCCATTATTACTGAGACACTGGGCCAAAAATTCATCTCTTTAGTAAAGTAATGGAAGATACCACATGGTGTGGGGACAGCTGTTGTGACTACATGAGCATTCCAATTTTGCATCAGAAAAGCCCCACTCTGGGGATAACTCTCCATACTGAATACAAAATAAAAAGTAAGTTTTCAAATTATTCAATATTTTTATGTAATGACCCAAAAGTAAGAGATGATATGAAATTTTAAATTGTATTCCCAAATAATGTCCCTTTGGATAGATTTTTGTCAGAAATCCAGCTATGTCAAAGATTTGGTGCCCTTGAAAATCCTTACTATGCTTGGGGGATAGGAGTTGGAGGCTGTAGCAAAACACACGTTATATTTTTAAAGTAATCTAAATACACTTTTCCCCTCAAAGCTTTAGAACATAAAATGTTAATTAAAAAAAGGATCATGCAATTTATTTGGCACTGAAAATTTATGGCCAAATTAAAATAAAAAATTTAAATGTAATTATTATTTATTTTCATACTTGAATGACAAAAGGTCCATTTCTATCTAATAAGTAGATACTGAAACTCCCTAATGAACAATGTTTCTATTGAAATGACTTGTTAATAATTATTTATATAATTAAAGAAGTTGCAATTTTGGACCCAGTAATTTTTAATAGATTCAGTGCAATTCATAACTTCTGTGGACGAAAAAGGGGCCACATAATAAACCTGACAAGCTCAGGGGAGGCCTAATGGTGTCTTACAAACTCCAGACCTAAAGTAAGGACACAAATGGTCTGAAAGTGAAACTTCCTAACTAAAAGCAGTTCATAGCTGGTAGTCATGTCCTACGTGGTATTTTTCCCTAACAAAGGCCAATCTTTACTTTAACTGAGCCTGTCTGTTGTCTTTTTTTTTTTTGGCAACTAAGATAACATATCCGTTAACAGTAACTTTGGAATATCAAAGTAATTTTCTTTTTTTCTGGACCCCTCAAAGCACAACCACCAAGCCAGAGCAGAGACCATAAATGCCCTCATTGTTATTATTATCATGCTAATTATTGACTGTTAACTATCCTATACCCACAAATGTTTTACCTTTCATCCAATCCCAGGAATACTTCCCCCCTCCCCACTTTGCTTTCAATGTATAAAACAAGGTGCATTTTCTCAATCTGCTGAGATTTTGCTTTCTGGCAACTGTCATCAGTTTGGTGTAAATAAACTCATAAAAATTCTTGTAGGTTTGGACATTTCTTACATTGACACTTCCCAGATATGTTAGCTAAAAAATAATATCCTTATATAACATCATCCAGTTAAAATATCAGATGTATATCTAATGATGTGGTTGATATATCTAATAATCGAATAATATGCTAACTTCTAATTCTATGTCCTACACTGACTTCGTGTTTTAGAATGTCAATTTGGCTTTTGGCTACACATTTTCCTTTCCAATTTCACTATATATGTGGAAAAATGGTATGTAAAGAAGAAGCAAACAACAGAATTAAAAACAAATCACTTTAAATATCTTTTCACTCTTAGGGAGAGAAACTCTTTGAAGAAAGTTTGCAACTCATCCCAAACTATCGTTCTACTGTTGTGATCCTTTAGCACACTCAGTATTTCATGTGTCCACAAGGTCTCCTCATCTATGATTAGCTGCCTTGCCAAAAAAGAGATCCCATCTGGACCAGTGATTGTAAAGTGTGCTCTTTGGGGTGGCACTGTTACCATCTTAACTAGCTAGTTATTAATAACAGGAAGAAAGCAAAGGGCTTGATCATCTGGGCAACTTCACCAGGAAGCAGGAACGTCATGCTTCCCAGGAAACCCCTGGTCCACTCCTTGCAGGTCACTGGGGAAAGGATTCCAACAAAGGGGAAGATGGGCACATGCCCAGTGAAGTCGGGGTGATAGGGAAGATGCTTGCCAGTCAGTCTAGCCTGGGGAAGCATGGATTGGTTAGAGGGATGGAGCCACTGCAAGCGTGTGAAATCCTGAAAGATTCATTGGTTAAGCTTCTAGTTAAAATCCCCAAAGAAACTTTTGCTCTTTTGTTCCTCTTGCTTCACTCCTGCTTCCCGGCACTTACTCGTTCCGTGACCCAGGCCAGCTTGCATGTGATCCTGGAAGCAATGGACTGCAGCTGGGAACACGAGCTAAGCTAGCCTGATGCTGGACTGAACTGGGCTTTAATGTGGAGCAAAGACTTTGGGTAGTGGTTTTAAGCCTAGCCCTGCTGAAAACAAAATGGGAGATTTTCCACGGCAGGACTGAGTGAGATGGCATCTTGGAGGGGGAACTCCCTTAACGTTATTTCATCAATAAAGCTTTCCACAATACCTCATCCTCCCTCGGGAAATTCTTCTTCCTGCGGCCCCCTAAGATCTCCACTTCCACCATCAATAGGAGTA